CTCATTCCGTTCGAGATCTCTGCGCTCAACTTGATTCTGACTTTCTGGCGTGACGACATTCCTGCAGCTGCCGTCTGCGTTGCTTGCATCGTTCTCTACGGGCTGCTCAACGTCGTTGCCGTCAAATACTTTGGCGAAGCAGAATTCTGGTTGGCTAGCGGTAAGCTGTTGCTCATCGCAATGGCGTTCTCTTTCACCTTCATAACGATGGTCGGCGGTAACCCTCAACACGATGCCTATGGCTTCAGAACTTGGAAGAATCCGGGAGCTTTCGCCGAGTATATCAATACCGGCGACCGTGGGCGTTTTCAAGGTCTTCTGGCTTCCATCTTCTCTGCTGGTTTCACGGTCGTCGGCCCGGAATATATTTCTATGGTGGCTGGTGAAGCTCAAAGGCCCCGTATCTACCTCAAGCAAGGTTTCAAGACCGTTTACTGGCGTTTCGGCATTTTCTTCATCGGCAGCGCCATCGCCATTGGCATTGTGGTGCCTTACAATGACCCAAAGCTCGAGAATGCTGGCGCCGGAACCGCAGATGGCTCGCCCTACGTCATTGCTCTGAAGAACATGGGCATTGACGTCCTTCCTCATATCATTAACGCCCTTCTTTGCACAAGTATATTCAGTGCCGGCAACGCCTATACCTACTGCGCCATGCGCAGTCTCTACGGTCTTGCCCTAGATGGTCAGGCACCGCCCATCTTCAAGAAGTGTCTCAAGAATGGCATTCCCATCTGGGCGTTCGCTCTGGTCATGCTATTCCCATTGTTGTCATTCTTGCAGGTTTCCAATAATACGGCAAAGGTTGTGACAATGTTGCAGAGTTTGACGCAGGCTGCGCAGCTTCTCAACTACGTCATCATTTGCGTTGTTTATGTTTTCTTCTACAGAGCCTGCAATGCCCAAGGCATCATCCGGAGAAATCTACCATACTATGGTTATTTCCAGCCTTACTGCGCCTACATCGGCATCGTGTGGATGACATTCATGGTCACCTGCTTCGGCTACGCTACCTTCCTTCCGGGCCATTGGGATACCCTGACCTTCTTCTCTTACTACACCATGATCTTCGTGGGCATCATCACTTTCTCGACTTGGAAGCTGTACAAGAGGACGCGCTTTGTTCCTGCCGCCGAGGCAGATCTTATCTGGGACAAGCCTATCATTGACGCATACGAGGCACAGTTTACCGACCCACCGAGCTCATTCCGGGGCAGTATTCGCAAGCTGTTTGGGAAGAAGAATAAGCATGAATCAGAAATGGTCGCATGAGTAATCTGACCACATCATTACTGCGGTGGATGGAAGAAACGATGAGGACACCAACATGAATAAAAGTACCAATTCTAATTCTTCCATGGCGACGTTTTCAAAGTGTCTTGTGTATTCAAGCTGTGCAATACGCATTTGATGTCCCCCAATGATTCTTTCTGCAAAGAAAAGGCGGATGGTTCCCTCGCTCACGTATGTTGTATCCAAGTTGGAACGAGTGGCAGGTGAGCCGCTTTATCCAGCTGCATCAATATTACTTTACGAACACATTGTGCACCAAACTTTCGAAGAGCGCTCGATCGATCACCGCTCCAAACCTGCCACCACGGTCAGCATCATAGTCTGGCGTCATGCAGCAGAACCAAAATACCCGTGACATTTCACTGCCTCCCGTAGTTTCCCAGCGAGAGCCTGAAATTTGTACAGTTCGAGACCACCGAAATTCGTCTGAGCACGGATGTATTCCCAAGCTTGAGTAGGCGTGATTTCGTCTTCCGGGCACAGTGATGACGACAGATCCAACAAACGATTGAGAAGCTCTTTTGGGGCTTTTTCGTAGGGCGGTAAACCCATACGATTGGGAATCTCCGCTGACATGGCTGTGATGGAGAGCAGCTGTGCCGAAGTTGTCAGAGCATGACCTGTCGGCTTGTGTGGATTGCCTAGATCGCCATGAAGGTGTCCGAGACAAGGGTTCTCAATGCTGAGGTGAAAGATCAGTCACGAATTCAACTCCAAACGAAAACTCTTGAAATCTTACGTCAGGACAAAGTCCATTCCAACCAATGTGTGGTCAAGCCCACATAAACGAGAGGCAGAGGGCACAAGTGCTGAAGATTCTCTCGTAACATCCTTAAAGGACATATTCCATGAAGGCCATTCATTGACGTGCGAGACGGGCGGGTCTTGGACTGCACTGGCTTGGCTCTCTTCGCTTGACAAGAATTGACTTGGAGATCGATGGGCATCTGTCGCATGTAGAACATCCGTGCCGTTCTGCGCCGGCTGTGAGGATATTGACTCCTCTGGTGTCCATGGTGGAGAGAGCTGATCGAGCAGCGGAGTATGCGAGAGATATTGTCCGTAAATTCCATCAAGCTCCAAGCCGTTGGGGAGATCGATTCCATGATGCCTTAGCATTTGCGTAAGTTGTCGAATTGTAACACGATATTGCTCGCATTGACGAGTGAGTTCGGCTTCTCGGGTCTTTGTCTGTGTGACTTCCTTTTCCAATGACTTGGTATAAATTTCCTTTCGATCGCGATAAGATCTGCACATTCATTCAGCATTTCACTCCGTGATTTTGCTAGAGATATTGGTGATCTTACTTCTGAGCACGCCGAAGTTGTGCTCGACGTTTTTGTACGGGATCTTCCTTTGGGGCTGCAAAACGTACGTCAACTTAGTTGAAGCCAGGGGCTAGATTTTCGCGAGTCTGGGTAGCACTCGCGCAAACTTGGCACTGACCTCCCGGATTGAAGATTTTGAAGATTTTGCTGCTCATGGTTCGATCTTTTGTAAGGTCTGGTCGGTTCGTGTTGTGAGAAATCAAATGTACAGTGTGATAGGCTTGTATAGCATCCGCGGGATAGAGGGATAAATACGCCCTGAACTACGTCCGTGTGAGGAACACCGTGTAAGCAAGGGGTGGAAGCCACCCAAATTCAAGGTTTGGGGTATGTGGGTGGCTTCGGCAGTTCAGCCGAAAATCAAGCAGCTTTCATTGTTTCATCTAGCGCGATGAGAATATCAGAGTTTCCTCTTGTGGTTAGCTCCCACAAATGGATCAGACGAAGCTGATACTACGATCCGCGACACCGTCTCCATTCACAAGGAAGGCTGGACAGTCTAAGCCAGCCAGTTTAGTCAGAATCCTTCGATCCAACCCGCGCTCTGGAATCGTCTTGTCCAAAAATGGTAATTTCGATTACACGGGTTATGTCCTCCATTCCAACCATTGCAGCTTCTGGACGAGAATTTGTGACAAGTATTGGCTGGTTTATCAAATCTAGAACGGAAATGGATTCTATAAGTACGAGATGTTTCCCAAGCATGTTCATTGCCCAGATCATTGCCTAAATCACAGTTTAAAGCATCTCCTACATTTCCCGAGTGCAGGCCCTCGCTTTCTTCTATCGTCATTCCCACCATCCAATCCAATCGTTCTATCATGTACTTGGGACCACCGGTGCTTGCATCCTGCCTGCTTGGACTGGTGTCTGTGGCTGCATCCAGAGCATGCGGGACTCCTGATCGCATCAGCGGCAAGATGCAGTCCGGCAGAGCAGCCTACTTCATCACCAATGACCAAGCCAATGCCATTGTCGCTTTGCCGATTGGATCAGACGGTCACTTGTCTGAAGGGACCATCACCTCCACTGGCGGCTCTGGTATGTCCTCTGTCAATAGCATGACAAATCAACCAGCTGCACCTGATGGCCTGGTCTCTCAGTCTGCTGTAACATTAGCTGGAAACGTGAGTAGGCTGTGAGTTCGAAATGCTTTCCATGGGCTGACTCTACATCTCGCAGTATCTATTCACCATCAATGCTGGGTCCAATACTGTTGCCATGTTCAAGATCGAACCCGCCAGCCCGACGAAACTCACAATGATTGGGCAGCCAGCACCCGTCCCTGGCGAATTTCCCAACACCGTCGCTGCTTCAGAGAGAAACCACCTGATTTGCGTCGGAACTACTGGTGCGAAGGCTGGAATTTCGTGCGCATCGTTTTCCGACTCTGGCATGGGCCCAATGGACAGTCTCCGCGCCATAGCCTTGAATCAAACTACCCCGCCAGTCGGACCAACCAACACTATTTCTCAAGTCTTCTTCTCTGACGATCAGAAAAGCTTGTATGCTACGGTGAAGGGTGATCCAGTCAAGAACAATACCGGCTTCTTTGCTTCCTACCAAGTGGGCCAAATGTCTGGCCACGCAGCAGTAGCTGAGCAACCACAACGCTCTTCACCGGCTGGAACAGCTGTTCTATTTGGATCATTCAACATTCCCGAGTCTAACAACGTGTTTGTCACAGACGCATCATTTGGTGCTGCTGTTTTATCCGTTGATCAACGTTCCAAAATCGCCACGGTCAAGGCGAAGGGTGCCATCGACGGACAAAAGGCTACCTGCTGGGGAACCTTCTCCAAGGCATCGAACTCAGCCTTTGTCACGGATGCGGGTTTGAACAGAATGGTGGAGATGTCTTTGACGGATGCAAGTGTCAAGAGCATCATCGAGCTCGGCTCTAATGGCGACCAGGGTCTCATTGATCTCAAAGCTGCCGGCAACTTCGTCTACGCGCTGGCTCCAGGAAATGGCACCACCAGTGCAGCTGTAACGGTTATCGATGCAGTTCAAAAGAAACAAATACAGCATCTCCAGCTGCAGAATATGGTGGTTGGAAAGAGCGCTCAAGGCATGGCTATTCTGATCTGACTCGCATTGTGCATTGGGTTTCAAGGTGCCAAAGGATCTACTATCGGGGTTGTAATCAACACATGACCTAGCTTACAATAATTTTGGGCACCTTCATAGGCATTATCACATATTTCAAAGTAAATTTACGAAGCACAGAAGCACAGTTTCGTTCTTGTTAATGGTCCCGTTAAGTTCAGATTGCTGGAGTCTCAGTGTGAGCACTGTCCTGAGACTGGAGCCAATCTGGTTGATTTCAATCAATCCCTCGGCCGCCCAATTTTCTCTCATCATGACCATGTCTTAGTGTTACACCTCTGCCTGGTATCTGGCCACCTTCGCCCGATGTAGCCGTACCATAAGGGGCTTTTTGAGCCAAGTTGTAAACACCTGTTGTCTTTCCCACATCGAGGACTCCTCAAGCAGCTCGACGTCAAATTCGAACACCAAGATAGCAAATATGAGACGCATCTCGTTGTACGCATGACTGGCATATAGGTCAGCTACAGGTTTCTAACTCTTCTCAAGGTTATTTTAAGACTTACCTCTTCACAATGCAGCTGCGAATTCCAGTACCAAAAGGTTGCAAGGTTTCCCTCCTATCACTGGCGTACTTAATATCCTCGCTAAGCCACCTCTCAGGCACGAAGTCGTCAGGATCAGCGAAGTTGCTGCTTGAGCGGAAACAAGAATAATGACCAACACCAATCAAAGAGCCTCCGGGAACGAATCGACCACAAATTGTAGCACCCTCCGGGGGAAGCAAACGGGGGTGGTTGCTGTTGGCGTGAAGGTAGATACGCAAACTTTCGTCCAAGATGGCCATGAAGGTACCTGAGGTCTCCCAGCCTGGCAAGAGTGATCTCATCGACGCGGTTGAACTGGTCTCGAATCTCTCTTGCCAGGCGCTTATGGATTATAGGGTGACTTGCGGTATAGTATGCAGCACCGGAGAGTAATGTGGCCCTCGTTTCACTGCCAGCAACCACCAGGATTGGTGCATTGCTAACCAGATCCTCCATATCAAGATTTCGTGCTTGTTCCGCCCTAAGGAGATATGTTGCGAAGTCAATGTGCTTTGGAGACCTTTCTCTTCGCCGAAACATCTTCTCCCGAGCCATGGCCCAGGTAGCGTTACGCTCACGGGCGATGTTTCTAGGGATCAAACTAAGCAGCATCTCGACGCAACCAGGCGCTAATCGACTCAAGGCCCGGATCCATGTGGCGTATCTTGTCACCCCAAATATCATGGCAACCCATGGATGATATTCCGAGCTCGAAAGACAGTCGAAGGATTTGGCAAACGTGAGGTCGCTAATGATATCAAACGTTATGAACTGGGAGTGTCAACACATGGGTCATCCTGCAAGGCGTGAATCGAGGGCGTATAGCAACTGACATTGAACCATTTGACAAGATCGACCGCATGAGTGCCTTGACTTTTAAGGCCTTTGATGAATTCCCTAGTGTATGTGTTGAGCAAACGTTCCTGTTCCCTTGGGGCCTTATCTGAAAATCCATACGAAAGGAGTCGCTTGAGCTTCATATGCTGCTCTCAAGGAGCAACCATGATATTTGGATGCGCCGGGTTCTTCGTGAAGGTCTGCGATGGGTCTTCCATATAGCCAGTGCCTCCGTGAGGTCCGTATACATCTTTCCATGCTTCGGATTGTGTGTAGGACAGCTCGTCCGGCGCGATCCTGACGACGGGCCCATATATCTCATGTAGTTCGTGAATCGCGAATGCGACGTCTCCCCTTGCACCATGATAGACAAACCACGCGATACTAATGGTCGAGTACCATGGGCCAGGATATGAACGAAGCGGGTGAAGAAAATGTTGTAGATGGGCCTGGATAATATTAGAATAAGCATCTTGTCTGTCAGATCTCGGCCATTTATTTGATGTACACACGCTTACGGTGAATGTTGCTAGGGCAGAGGTTCCTAAGTCTATGAAGGCCATGATGATGTGCATTGCTGCAGATCGATAATACTTTCAGGCTGTGATCGAGAAGGTTATGACTAAAGATTGGCACATAAGCAGACAGTTTTTTGACACGGTAGGGTTGACTTCCTTGCATTTATGTACATGGGCAGCGGTATACTAATATCAACACATGCATTGGAGACGGGCGAGCTCTCCAAATGACTGATAGGCACGTCCAATTATTATCTTACTACGCAGAGTAAGTTTATTGGCAGGTTCGCAATAGCCCTCGCACTTGTGATAGAACGAGGACGTCGCCATACCGGCGTCCTTGTGTCATTGATCAGACATCAACTATTGGATTTTGTGCTACTCTGTGTGCGCCACACTGTTTCAGCAAAGTACGTTGGGTTCTCACTTACAATGTATTGTTATACCATTGAAAGTTTACCAAAGATTTCTACCCCATCATTAAATGCCCGATCGCTTCGGCAGATATTATGTCAACGGGGTAGCATTTCCAAGCAACTGAGCCTATCGTCATCGAAGAATCCTCCACAATTTTCTCGTCACCGGCCACTTATCCCTTTTATGAAGATCCACTGTTGTCTGCGCAAGCGAACGCGCCTCCGATCAAACCGTTTGCGTAAGCATCAATGATGTTTTGAACAACACCATATGTACCACCAATAGTGAGAAATACAGCCAAAAGAATCATCAGCCAGTTAAGCCAGTACACCAAGACCTTCCACCAGCTACCTTGGCGGTAGTGCTGGTGGTCGTAGACCCAGAGATATCCCGGAAGTCCCAGCGCCAGTGGCGCAAACGTCAAGCTTCCCGCCAAGGCCAGAAGGTAGTTGAAGATTGGGATGCCAGAAGCAATTAGGTACGAAACGACAGACATGCCGAGAGTGCAGCCAAGCCAGACAGACCAATGCACAATGGAGTTTTTCTGCAAGTGGACTGAGTCGCGGAGAAGACGAACAAAGAGGTACTTCGCCGCAACGTGGATGTAGAGACAGGCACTGACCATGAGACCTGTCAAGCCAATCCCGTAGGAGACCTTCTTGATCACATCTCCTGCGCTTCCGAGAGATGGAGAGGCCACCCATTGACCGCAATATCGGTAGACAACCAGTGAGAAGGTCAAGTACGACGCGGTGACAATTCCCATGCAAAGGTAGACAGCCTTGTTGTAGTCCCTGGGCTTCTTCATCTCCGAGATAACGGGAAGAAAAGCTGAAGTACCGGCGCCCGAGCAGAAAATGGTAGCGACGGAGGTGATGCCAGTGACAAAGTTCGGGTTGCCGATCACATGGTATCCAAGATCGAAGTCGCCAGTCTTAGGGGCAGCGGCAGGTCGGTCCACCTGAGTAACTCCAACACTAAGGCATCGATTAGTTGGTATATTTGAGAAGAGGAAGGTGTAGTAACTCACACAACGATGAAGACGGCGACATAAACCGAGATGAAGCCAGCCCATGTCAGCCAGGCGATTTTCTCGAACTTGCGGGCACTCGCAAGGATGAAGACGCAAGCCGTTGCAACCAACATGTAGGAGTTGGTACAGATTGCGTGGTTGGAAAGAGCGTTGAAAGCAACTGATGTGCCAAATATTCCTGAAGCGCCAACGATGGCATAGGTGACGAGAAACAAGACGCCAACAACCTCTTTCAACCAAGTGCCACCAACGACGTTGGCCATATCAGCGATGGAGTGACATCCGGCGTGCGCATTACGGAAGTTTCCTTGGATGATCGCGCAGTAGGTGTTCAAGAACTGCCAGCCCAAGACATTGATGGCACCAGGAAGGGCCCCCAAAACGTACATAGCAGACGGAATGGTGAGTACACCAGTCGCGAAAATGACTTGGATATGTCAGCTTTGGTTATGACGACTCCTGGACTGAGGTTTGGATGGCATACCCTTCAAGAAAATGACCGATGCATGGACCCAACCAACCGTACGGAAGTCGACCGCTCCGTCGCCTCTCTTGAAGACCTCATAAGCATCTTCGGGATTTTCGAGCTTGCCGGCGTCAATGCTGCCGCTGCTACGGACCGGTGCCGGCGTGATTGCATCGGACTTCTCAGAGTTTGTTTGCGACATGTCGACGGTGTTCAGTCGATACTCGGGGCCGATCGATGAAATGTTGGACGGCTTGTCTTTCTGTATATTCAGGAGACGCAAGACATCGCCCGAATAACATTTATAGGATATAAGCGTTTCGTTGGATTTGGAGCATCTGGCGATATGGCCTTTGACAGGTGAGCAGGTCAAGGAAGTCAGGCGTGGCTTATCTCGTAGCGGCAAAGAGTTCCCGACCAAGATAACCATCGACGTGGAATCCACCCAACCCCGCGAGCAGCGTCAGATGCCGCCCCAAGATCGTGGGTCACGTACCCTTGGCAGCAGCCAAAGTCAAAAGCATGTTCAGGGGGTAAGACGGCATTCAGTGGAGGTTGGTTGTGGGTCGAGACAGGGCTCCTCTGATAACGTTGGGGTATATCAAAGCCTGTGTTGGGGTATTAATGTTATGATAACATTGCCGGCGTTGGGGTCAAGATACCAACTTTCGGATTTGGGAGGCGTGCTCCAATGTTCACCTCCATGATCAGACGTCATGATCGATAAGCGCGGGGTAAGGAGCCAGGAAATTTCCTCTGAACGATATGATGATTAGTCTCCAAAGTTCGCGGGCATACACAATAGGGTTTAGGAGTATGAGGTGATATTCTTCATGGGATAGCTTGATTTGAGACGTGACCAGCAGACACGGCGATTTGCCATAGTTTCTGGCCCCCACGATCATCACACGGCGTGTCGACAGATTTCTTGACTAGTAACATGGTATCTTTATTCCTCTAGCGATGTACCTAGGCCTATGATTGCTTCAAAATCGCTCCAGGTTCTGCGGGCATCACTGCACCCTCGGCAGGGGCCGTCTTGGACTTGAACTCGTCGCAGATTTGTGCCATTGTAACGAACTCAACGCCCTCGTGCTTCTTCATATGCTCAATCAGCCTTTCATGCATGAGTTGCACGTGGGGTCGACCAGACACATCTGGGTGGATGGTCAACGGGAAGATGAACTCGTCGTACTCCCGATAGAAGTAGTCGAAGTGGTCCCGCCAGATATCCTCCACATCTCTGGCGTTTACGAAGCCGTGACTGTTGGGTGCGTCTTTGATAAACATCATCGGTGGAAGGTCGTCAAGATACCAGTTTGCCGGAATCTCGACGAGTCCAGTCTCCTGACCCCGAACAAGGGGTTTCATCCATTCAGCGGCCTTTTTCTTGTAGTCAATTTTGGTCCATGAGTCGCCAGTCCTCAGATAGTAAGGCTGACAGTCGTGATGGCTCATGCTGTGGTCGTATTCGATACCGTAGTCGAGAAGCAACTGCGCGCCCTCCTTGCTTGTCTCCCACCACGGTGCAACACTACCTCTCGGGGGCTTGCCGGCAAACTCGGTCAACATGCGATATGTTTTATCAAGAATCTCTTTCTGTTGCTCGATCGTCATGTCGGTTGGGTTTTCGTGAGAGTAGCCATGGAGGCCGATCTCGTGGCCAGCATCTCGGACAGCGGCCATGTCCTCAGGGAAGGTTTCGAGGCTGTGGCCGGGAATGAACCATGTCGCCTTAATGTCATACTTCGCAAGGAACTTGAGAACTCGCTGGACACCGATTGTGCCAGCGAAATATCCTGGAGATGCTTAGTTTCACCTTTGCTGATTGTCTGCCATATGCGTAGCTCTTACCCCTACTGATATCGTTTGAGGAATCCTCCCCTCCATATGAGCCCAACCATCCTGCGACCGCATCTACGTCAACGCCGTAGCTAACGAGAACACGCTTCTTGCTCATCTCGACTCAGTGAACTGTGGTGCTGAAGAAGCTACGCAAACAAGGTAGAACTGCGTCTAAGGTTGTGACAGAACGCGTGTGCGGGGGTTAATGGGAGAGAGTTTATTAGCTTGCTCGTAGATAGCGAGGTGTCCGGCCTTAAGGAAGTTCGCCCACCACATTCAGCTCACTGGCTAATGAGGGGTAATTCAATCTGGTAAGCTCCATTAGTCCGCTAGATACCTTTGCTGCCAGGAACTAGCTTATCGCGGGGTGCCGGGGCGGGTCACTCGAAAGCTGGACCGAAGCGCACCGTTTTTCCCAGCGATTTGATTGGAGGATTAGATCTTCATCAATTGATTTGCGCAATGTTGCTAAAACTAGAATTGAGGAAAGAAGAGGGGCGATGCTGAAAGTGGGTGTTGTCGGGGATTGCTCCGTACACTAGAGGAAGAGTTGGAGACACTTCTGCCAGGAGTTGGAGACTAAAATCCTCCAAGTGAGGGGCGTCAGGTCCCTCTTCCATAGAGAGATAGTCTCCAACAGCTCCTGTTCCCTCATGATCGTACTGACGGGAGCCTGGATATGACCCAGTATTTGGCCGTGATAGGGTCGATCCACGAATGTTGCTCCTACGACATAACGAGTCTACGCTCTCAGTCGTATCAGTCTGACAAGAAGTTTACTTGCACCATGACGCAGATGGCGACCCCAAGCACTCCCCCCCTTATGAGGGCTGCTCAAATATCCAAGGTTAGTTTTTCGGTCACATCGTCCAGACAAGCAGGAACTAAAGCATTGCAGTACGGCAAACCCTATGAGCTGGTTGAGAGACATGTGCCAGAAGTCCGCGACAATGAACTTCTTATCAGAGTTCACGCGGCTGGGTTCTGTCACTCTGACCTGCAAGTGTTGCAAGGGCAATTCAAGTCACCTCTAGGCATGATCCCATCACACGAGCCTGCCGGTGTAATCGTCAAAGTTGGCGCAAAATGTACTTCTGTCTGGAAGATTGGCGACCGGGTTGGTGCACTCAATTACAAGAATTCGTGCGGGGAGTGCAGTGGTTGCAGATTGGCGAAGCGCACGAGTGGGCAACTTGATCCACGGTTCTGTGACAATAGAGAAACTGCAGGTTTTCAACACGACGGCGCATTCGCAGAATATCTCTCGATTGACCCAGAAACCACGGTCCGTCTGCCGGCATCACTATCGTTTGACCAGGCTGCGCCTTTGATGTGTGCAGGGGCAACGGTATGGGGATCGCTGGAGAGAGCGACGGCTGGGCTCAGCCCCGGGGAGACAGTGGCTGTTGTCGGCATCGGCGGGCTTGGTCACCTCGGTCTGCAGTTCGCTACCGCCATGGGATTCCGCACAATAGCCATCGACAATCGACCGGCTGGCAGGCAACTTGCCACGGAAATGCCTAATGAAGCTCTGAAGCCAGCGCTGGTGGTTGATTCCGGTGCTGAAGACGCGACTGCAAAGATCATGGATTTCACGAACGGTGAAGGTGTCGCTGCTGTAGTGGTCTGCACTGACTCTTTGGCGGCCAACAACTGGGCCTTATCGATACTGAGGATTGGGGGTGTCATGGGTGTGCTTGGTCTGCCGGCCGACGCCTGGAGATTCGATTCAAGTGTCATTGTTTTTAAAGAGCTCACCATCCGTGGAAGCTATGTTGCCAGCCGAACAGCAACAGAGAGGATGATGAGAATTGTCGAGGAAGCTGGCGTCAGATCGCACATTACACTCGTGCCGTTTGACGGGATTCCGGGTGTTGTAGAAATCTACCAAGACAGCGCTTTTAGGGGGAGGCTCGTGGTCCAGGTAACAGAGTGAACGCAGAGATGCGAACAGAGGGTCAGCGACAGCAACCATGGCGTATAGCAGCAGCAAGGTGTTGCAGCAGAGACAGGGGCAGGCAGAGAGAGTCCCAATCAGATGAGCTTGCTTCCCTACTGGACTGAACATGGCGTCGCCCCCCCTGGCGTCTTTACCACCAAACCCAACAAACAGGGTGACAATGCAACAGTTGTTTGGCAATTTCTCCCTCCAACTTTGATCCCCACGATTTCTGAGCTTTTTGCCCAAATTTCGCGTCACTTCACAGCTTTAGCATCTCGTTCAGCACTGGATGTGGAGCTGGGGCAAGAAGACTTCCAAGTTCCCCGACTCGCGCGGTTCATTACCAACTTAATTACCCCATTGACCCTTCTCCAACCCCGAGACGCGACTAATGGGGTCGTACCGCCCGGCGGGGTCATTCATTCTCCTGTCATCGCGTCCACTAATGCCGACTTCATTCTCTTTGTCATCGGAGGCCCTTCTCGCCACAAACCGGTACAATGACCCCCGGGAGTTGTCTCCGACATTTCCTCGCGGCTCCATCATGGATCACGTCTTGATACACATATGAGCAACCAGTTGGGCTGGCTTCAAGCGGCATCCGTGGAATACACGTTGAGCTCGCAGTAGAAACTTGGTCGATTGCCCACCATGTCTGTATTCTTCAAGGATATCTCATCGTACGGCCATCAAAGTTGTCCACTCTACTAACAGACCTCTTGCTAACTGCTCTTTCTAGAGATAATCCTGTCCAGAAAGGCGACGTCGAGAAGCTACTCGAGCCGCTTGGACTGACGATCAAACCCGAGGAGTCGGCCGACTACCAGAGACTCCTGGCCGCAGTCCACGACTGTGCAACCCGCATCGATCGCCTACCGGACTACCAGCCAGTCCCCGATACGAAGAAATACCCCCGCGAAAACGTCCATACCCCTACAGCAGAAGAGCAAGAGTTTGGCCATGCCTGGGCGCACCGATTTCTAATTCGAGGAGATCCATCCGCAAAGGACCCTTCGTCAGGGTCACTGAAGGGTAGAAGCGTCTGTCTGAAAGACTGCATCGCTGTTGCTGGCGTCCCGCAGTTCTTTGGCAGTGACGCTTTCCCTCCATGGACACCATCAACAGATGCTACCGTGGTGACCCGAGTGCTAGATGCCGGAGCCGATATCCTGGGTACAGCAACTTGCGAACACTTCTGCAATTCCACAGCGTCCTTCACTAGCGCGCAAGGCACGATCGAGAATCCATACAGAGAAGGTTACTCTACCGGCGGTAGCACCTCCGGCGGTGCGGCACTGGTTGGTTCAGGAAAAATCGATATTGCTCTCGGCACGGATCAAGGAGGCAGCATTCGGGTTCCCTCGTCGTTCTGCGGATGCGTCGGAGTAAAGCCTACACACGGCCTGATTCCCTTCACTGGCTTCACAAGCGGCGATGCCATCGACGACCACGCTGGTCCCATATGCCGATCCGTCATGGAGGCTGCCCAGTGCCTCGATGTTATTTCAGGCTATGACGGCATCGACGACAAGTCATTGGGTGCTGAAGCCCACGGCTCATACAATTTTGCCAACTTTCTTCGTTCAAGCTCCGGTCGCCTCGATGGCATCAAGATCGGTATTCTCAAAGAAGGTTTCCACCAAGAGATTGTCGATTTAAGAGTCAGAGACCACGTCCTGATGGCGGCACAGAAGCTGGGAAGCCTAGGAGCTGCGGTGGAAGAGGTTTCCGTGCCGCTCCACCTCGAGGGCCCTTCAATTTGGACTCTGCAGCAACGTATTTCCGGTTCTTCGGGCATACTTGGTCGAGCTACTGGCCATAGGGGACTCGGTCTCACTGAGTTCGAAAAGGCTCGACTCCCATTTACCGATCCTAGCTTTCATAAGCTCTTCCCGTCAACCAAGAACACTGTCATCAACGGCCTGTACTTGCAAGACAAGTTCCCTGGGCTCTACAGCAAAACAGTCAATATTGGTCGTCAGATCAGTGATGCCTACCAGCGTGCTTTTCAAAAGTACGACGTCATTGTCATGCCAACAACGCCTTTTGTGGCCCCGCGACACGGCAGTCGGGATTCGGTCTTGGGTTCGTTTGAGCCCACGATTGGCTTGACAACCAATACGGCTGTCTTCAATGTCACTGGGCATCCAGCCATGTCTATGCCCGTTGGGTTCATTCCCGCGAAAGATGATGCACAAGTGATGCTGCCAGTTGGTATGCAGATTGTTGGCGGGCTATGGCAGGAGAAGAGCGTACTAAGGGTTGGACATGCTTGGGAGACCAACTTTGATTGGCGGGCTCTCAAAAGCATCGAGGAAACCACTAATCAGTTACATTCCCCTTCTAATGGAGCGAACATGAAGCCAAACAGCAGACCCGTGCCTGAAGTAAATAGCACCACGTCACCCACCCTCAAACGGGTGAAGCTCTCCGCCTGAGAATAGACGGCAAGATCTTATCTATTAGACTCTCAAAATAATCAGATAGTAGAATCATGTTCGATTCACGTTTCCCAGATTACAAGTCCAATTTATTGCAAAATTCTGTTATCATGCAGCCTGCCTGTCTTCTTTAATGGAGATATATGGTCTGTTTTCTCAGATGCTTTGAGTGAAGCTACGAGGAAGAAATTAAGAAATTCAAAGACTGGCATTGTGACAGGCAGAGACACAATTGAGAATGGATACACAGTTGTCGGACGCGAAAGACGCAGGCCTCACTAGCGTTGGTCAAATTAAGAATCCATCGCAAGGAATTATTTCAGACTTCAAGGGCTGTTTGCCACTCGAACCCCGCCAAAGATAGTATCTTTAGACCGAATACAATTCTTCCCCAGGATGAGTCTGTCAGAACTAAGCTCGTTCGAACTAGAAGCTAGGTAGATCATTCAGTTTTGTTGCTCTTTGCCTCTGTTGAATGAATTTCAATTGATTGTGTATCCGCCATCAACGACCAGTGCGTGCCCCTGTACAAATGACGCCTGGCTAGAACACAGGAATAAGACTGCGTTCGCCACCTCCTCGGGTGTCCCCATACGCTTCATGGGCGCAATATCAATCGCTGGCTTCAGCCTCTGGATCAGCTCCTCATTTGCCGTCGTCATCGGCGTCGCAATTACACCCGGACAGACACAGTTTACCCTGATACCATCTTCCGAGTAATCTATGGCGTCGGATTTCGTCATGTTGATGATGGCAGCCTTTGAGGCACAGTATGGGGCTATTCGAGAGGTCTCGTTAGTGATCTGCATTTGCGCTCGTGATATTCTCGAGCTTACCGGCTTTTGGTCGAGCGACTACGCCGAGCTGACTCGCGATGTTTACAATAGATCCTCGCTGCTCCGGATGCTCAGATAACGGCTTCTGCTTCAACATGTGACTTAGCACGGCGCGGGACGCCAGCCAGCTGCCTCTGTAGTTGACATTGTTTATGAGATCAAACGCCGCCGTCGACGTCTCGTGAGATTTCAGTGATGCCCCCAGGATTCCTGCGCAGCTCACTGAATAATCGATACGAGAGAACTTTTTGGCGATATCTCCAACAAAAGAATTGAGAAACGTCTCGTCAGAGATATCACCTTCCTGACTCAACACCTCCGCTTTTGGGTGAATCTCAAGAATCGCATCGCGCGTGTCAATGAGTGACTTTCTGTTGAGGTCGGTGATGGCAATTCTTGAGCAGCCTGACCGAGCAAAACCTCTGGCAACAGCTGCCCCAATACCTTCTCATTGTCAGTGATGAAGTTGCCTTGAAGACGAAAAGCTTGGGCTCGCTTACCCGTTCCACCGGCACCCGTGATGAATGCGACTCCGGGAAACTTGAACATTCTGATGCTTGTGGCCGGGGTCGTTGCTATTGCGTTGTAAAGCAATACGCAATATGCTTTGAGAGCAACAGCTATGTTATGCCTATCGTTACATGGCCCAGATAGGTCGACATCGGCCTGATGATCACTTCCCAACTACTCCAACACGCCCGAGCGTGAACCGGCCCAAAGACCCGATTCACAATACCGAGTGGATATTGCGGGGAAACGGGCAAGATACGGCCTCGGAGAAAAGCAGGTTATTCATTGTCACAGGGGTAACGGCGCAAGATAATTCGCCCAGTCCAAGGGAGCATCGAACTTAGATAGCCGCCGTGGGGGGCATGGATACGAGTCATGTTCTCCAAAGATAATGGCCGCCTTGGGGTCGTCGATAAGACCCACAAGGGGAACAATCTTCTCCAACATAAGCCAAGGGGATGCCCCAATTAGCCTTCTCTCCAACTTGCCCTGTCTTTCTCATCACCTCCAACCACGGCGTCTGTGTGTGTGTGTGGGAAAGGATGTTGTCCCACACCGGTCCCGGCACGCAGACCCAGCCGCCACCGCAGCCGCATGCACAATCGCCGCAGGCTCTCCATCCCAGGCCTCATTCGACTCCAGTCAAGCGAAGGAGACGAACCGGTCACGGCCCTGATGCTCGTTCGTGCCCTCACTGTGGGCGAACGTTCAAGCGCACCGAGCACTTGGAGCGCCATGTTCGGACGCGTCAGTCATCCCATCTCCTCCACAGCCGTTTCCTATCTACTCCAAGTCCTCGCGTGATTTTGACACATCACGACACCTAAGCTAGCACTCCTGGCTTCTTCTCCATGACCCAGATGCCCGGGACTCTGCCACGTGCCTTTACGCTGACCTGCTCGCGTGTCAGACACCAAGGAAAAGCCCTTCATATGCCGTTGTGGAGCGGCCTTCGCTAGGCGAGACCTGTTGACCCGCCATCAGCGGATCGCCTTTCATGAGGACGGCTCCGAGTCTCCGGAGGGCCCTTCGGAGCCGGACTCCGGTGAAAATAGCCATGCGCCGCCAGTTGAGGCTGACCTCGCTGCTGCCGTCTCTCTCTCGGGCATGAGCGTGGATCATTGGTCGCAACCGCCTCCTCCGCCGCCGCCGCAACCTGCAGATCTGTATCCCATGGCCGTCCCTAGAAATGGTGGCCTCGTAGATGCGTCGTATCAGCAGACTTTGATAACAGATCAGTTCTACGAAAATGGTTGGTTGCAGATACGGCATCCCTTGTTTGGCTTTTGTTGCTTACAAACCTGGTGCCAGGCAATCAGGATGTTGTTGGGTTTGACGCCCACTTCCGAGAGTTTGCCAACTTCCTCGATGGCGTCGGTCTACCTGCAGAGTGGAGTCCCTACTTCCACGGCCCAGACAGAGACAATGATGTCGTCGACCCAGGCATGAGAGACTCAAGGGTGAGAGATTCGAGGGAAGGAACAGCTACCCCAGGGCCTCGCAGTAGGACCCGTCCCGGAACACCCTTCAGCTCTTGGCTACCATCGGCGCCAACAGGGAATCGCATCTCAGAGAACTTGCCCGACGCCAGTAAGTAAATGAACAAGTAAATGATGCAGGTGTAGACTTCTCTCACACAAGATTCAGTTCCTCGCTCCGTAGACAATGAGTCTCAGCCATATCGCATCTCGGACGAGCAGCGTTCTCGTCTCAATGCATCCATTGAGAGCTTCCGCGACATTCTCGACCCAAACTTCAAGTTCCCATCTCGCCATGCACTTACCCGCTACCTTACGTCTTACTTTGAAGGCTTCCACTCACATATGCCTTTCCTTCACACGCCAACATGGCGGATTTTCGAGCATTCCCTCGAACTCATTCTCGGTCTAGCTGCTGTGGGCGCACAGTACTGCTTCGAGCACCGCATGTCAGAGAGACTCTTCTACGCTGGCAAAGCCATCTTGATGGAGCGCCTTGCTCATGAGTCTGATAAGTTCGGGCCCAAGACAGGGTCATTTCTCAATATGCCTCAACGGCGCGAATCACGACCCATCCTGGCAAGAGATTGGGGTCCGTGGGAACCCATAGAGACCGTTCGTGCTTTGATTGCGCTCATGGGTTATGCGACATGGGAACCCAAGGTGTCGCTGATGCAGGAGGCGTTTGGCTTGCAGGGACTTCTGGCTCAAGTCTTGCGCGAAGTAGGCCTTCATGAGGAAGACGGGCGCCAGCCTCCTGCCGACCAGACCATGCCACAGGCAGCTTGGCATGCCTGGGCTCAGCAAGAATCAGCACGGCGCGCGAAGCTGATTGCCTTCTCTTTCATGCATACACATAGCATTGCCTACAACGTTTATCCTGTTCTCCGTAGCAATGAGGTCGGCCTGCGGCTACCTTGTTCGACCAAGGAATGGAAGGCATCGACTGCTGTCCAGTGGCAGATTGCCCGTCGAGAGACTGATAAACAGCAGCTCTTTTTCCAGGATGCGTTGTCGCTTCTGCTGAGAAACACTGATGGCACTGCGCCACTTGATCCTATCCCAACCCCACTGGGCAATTACATACTCTTACACGGTCTGCTGCAGAGGATATACATCGTCCGAGACCTCTCTTTGCCGGTGATGGATCACTCGGCATCACTGCCTAGCGAGGAGGTGGACAAGCTTGAGTAAGTCTAGTTGCAATCAGTTGCCGCACAGGGCTAATCTTCACCAGACGCGGCTTGCGATCGTGGACTGCGGGATGGCAACAGGCTCCCGAATCGAGTCTCGACCCAAACAACGAGAACGGCCCCATCCCTTTTACGTCCAGCTCACTACTTGGACTGGCCTACGTCCGGATCTATCTCCACCTAGGTCCTTACCGACTGCTCGAAACACGCGATCCGATCCGCATCGCCAAGGCCATATATCAATCACCCGCAGTCGAAAGAAGTGGCGGAGTCATTACTGCGCTTCTTTACACGGCCCATATGCTGAGTATTCCCGTGAGACTCGGCGTCGACCGTGTCGCACGTAGCCAGGCATTCTTCTGGAGTGTCAGACACTCACTCTCGGGTCTTGAGTGCGCTGTTTTGCTGAGCAAATGGCTCTTTTCCCTGACGGAGGCCTCGGGCACGACGCCGTTGAGTGGTAAGTCCTTTTACCCGAGCTTGTTACTGGAGTGGAGTTCTGCGGCGTCCCTATTTTCCTGTCATGCTCTTTTCTTCTGAAGTCGTCATTGTCTGCATTGTATTTATCCGCCCGGCAGCAAAACCCCTGTGCGAAGAACTTAAAGGGACACCTGCTGACAGGATTGCAGACAGCGAAGACAGGATCTTGCATTGGGTACGCTGCATCGTGGAGGAGGCCTACGACGTGGTTGACTTTGACGACGACGACGAGCCTGAAGTGGGTGTAGACCGGGACCCTGCGTCTCTCAGTCTGGCCGTATTGAGAATCTGGGCGCACTTCTTCAAAAGCAATACCCAATGGCCGTTTATCAATATGATCGGAGAGAGCCTGGAGAAGTATCGGGAGTTGCTGATGCGGAGTCGACCACGGCAAGCGACCTGAGTCAGGTAGCAAATAGCAGCACACAGCTTGACTGCTGTGCAACGATGGTGGTAAGCAATTACGACAAGGATTGGGACTTTGGCCGCTTGGCGAGACA